TTCCTGTTGGAAGCAGGAGATGGGTTCTCTGCTCCAGCTCATGTTCATGTTATCCTTGCCAAGGAGTCAGCTTCTGCAGAGCAGGTCACTGGCAAGCTGTGCTGGGGTCCCTCTAGCCCCGCCAGAAGAGCAGTCTCCAGGAGGCAAGGTGGAGATTTAGCTCTCAGTAGCAAGAGGAAGAATTGTGCCCAGCTTTCACTTGTAGCATTTAAGCATTCTTGTGACTAATCTGTTATGTAAAAGGGAATAGAAGAGAAGATGAAGACAGCATCTTTAATACCACCATGTTTCCTGCAGTTTGCTTGCTTTGCATATACAGAATTTTAAAACTTCTTTTACTTCTGGTAAAAATATTATCTGCATCAAAACTAAAACAAAGTATTGAATGGGAATAAAGTGATGAAGACAATCTCTCATATTGAATGAGAGCATGAAAGTGGAAATTACTTCATTGGGAGTAGAGGGGAAGAGGCAAAATTCACAGCTCAAGGAACTCAGATGAGGGAGGCTGACTAATGTTCATCCCAGAATTCCTGTTAAAAAAGAGAAAAAAAAGCAACCCAAAGCTGAGTTGCAGGAATCCTAAACAGATCTGTTAATTGCCATTTCCCGTATGGCTGGAAAATGGCAAATGTAATAGCTGTAGTAAGAAGGGTGTAAAGGGGAAGTGATCAGGCAAATCCTGACTCTCTTCTCTGACCCAGTCCTATGGATGAGGAAAGATTTAGAAGAATAATTGAAGAAATTGTGGAAAGTACAGCAAATGAGGTGACTGCAATGGAGGAACCTCAAAGAAAGATTATACTAGAACAGTCTAATGTCTTCCTTGAATTAGGTAGCTTTGTAAACAACAGAGAAGCAGTACAGAAGAAAAAAACCCTCTGGATTCAAGGAGAGCATTTAATCTTAAAGCATATAGGCAGTATTTGTTAGGCTAGAGATTAAATTTAGTGTAGGAGAGAGAGCTGGGGAGTCAGGGAGAACAGCAGTGAGTTCTTTTGAAAAGGCTATTGAACATTATTAGTGGAGCTGAACGAAAAGCTCTATTTGTGCCTGATCTCATTTTCATTAAATCATTTTGGTACTAGACAAATACTATAATAAGCATTGCTGACAACGAACTCCGGGGACATCAGCAGTACAATAATTTGTATATCATGCTTACATGACTGGGTGATCTTAAGAATAATAGGTTTTGGATGCAATTTAATGGTAGAACATGCAAAGTCCTGCACCTTAGGAACTAATGATATTTTTCTGCTATAAACTAGGGTAGTTAGCAAATTACATGAGGAGGAAAGCTATGTTCATTAATCAAGCACAGAATGACTGTGAGCCAACAACAATAGAGCTGTGAAGAAAAAAAAGGTTGTCAGCTTTCTTGGGTAAGAGATATCTGGGAGAGACAGGGATTTTTAATGCCGTTGTACAAGACCCCTGGATAACATCAGCTGAAATCCTGAGTCGAGTTCTGGTCAACCGAGTTCAAGGATGCTGGGCTGCAGTTAGAAGAGATAGAAAGAAGGTGATCGGAGTGAAGAGGTAGGGCAGGGAGGACACCGAGGGCCTCTCCAGCCCAGAGACTGACAGCTTGGGCAAAGCAGGGGTGAGGAGAGGATGGGATTGCTTCCTGGGAAGAAAGTGAGAGGACAAACATGAGAGGGGAAGAGGACGTGCACATGCTATTTCAGATGTAAGGGCAATGTTGGCACAAATAAATAATTATAAATTAGCCATGAATATATTTTGATTGGAAATTAGATGGAGGTCTTGAAGCAAAGTGAGATGGAGGTATAGAAGCTCCTCAGTCCGTTGTAATGTTATGGTTGCTTCCCTTATGGAAGAGATGGTCTAAAATGTTAGCCTGAAAAAGTTGACTGTGCTTGATGAGCAAAGATGCACATCTGGGAACAAATTAACAAGGTGATTGACTCTAAATCTGATCATGTCTGAAGTAGATATTTAGGCACTGAGAAAAAAGAATTGAGCACCATAGTATTTTAAGCAACTGCAAATTACAGCAATTTTAAACTTCTCATATTTCACATTTCATTATGAAACTAGTGCCTGTATCTGTTAAATTTAACTACAGAGGAACTACAGGCAGGCTCTTTCAACATCTAGGATTTCCCTTGCAGGTCTTACTCGAATACCTGAGGAAGTCGCTGTGCTGACCCCAGCTTTGAGCTGATGTGCTGGTGGGATGCTGAGCAGAGACAGTGCCGCCTCGCTGCCCGCCCAGCTGCCTCCAGCTCTCTCTGGCAGGAGTGCCGTGGTCATTCACTCCTTCCCATTTGAACAGGGTTATGATGAAGCACTACTGGTACCATCTGGAGTTGCCAAATTTTTCTTGATGCCTTCCAGCAAGGTTTTTATATTTCATGGAGCTCAGTGGACGTTTGCTCTGCGTGTCTGTGTGGATTGTTTGGAGCTGTCAGCAGGCTCAGCAGCCCGCAGAGCATCGCTGCCATAGATGGAGGCATCCGGTGGTCTCAGTTTCTTTTCTGTGGAGAGACTCCAGGGGACTGCTTTGGCACTTCTTTTCTCTGGAGATTATCTTTAATGGGGACTATCAGGTTGTAGTTTGTCATCACCCCTTTCTGCCTGGCGGCTCAGGGAAGCGCTCTCTTCCCTGAAGCGGTGACACAACTTCAGCAGCCTCAAACACAAACACTGCTTAAATAAGTGTATTGCGTTATTGTCAGGCGCAGGCAACTGAAAGACAGAAGTAAAAGCTCATTTTTACTAGCAGGTTCTTTATAAGTTTAAACTAAGGGGAAAGCTTGTGGTGAAAGCTTTTTTTTGTGGTGAAAGCTTGAAATTCAAGAGGCAAAGGGTGTTCATGGTGGCTGTTTGCGCTTCTGCTAGGCAGGGTAACTGCAAAGGTGTGAATTTCCTGACTCTGTAAATTAAATGGGATTCAAAAAGGGGCAGGGGAGAATTCCTGAGGGCTCAGAGCCCAGTGAGAAAACCAGAGGGAAGGCACAAGATGAAAGATGCTCAACAGTCTGAGTTCACATTATCAGGTGTTACACCCCAGGGCAGCTGGGTATTACAGCCCAGATGGGAAGAACATAAGAGTTTGAAGGACCCAGGGGTCCTTCAAGTATTTGCTTTAGCCTAGTCTTCTAAGAGCTGTTTTTTTGAATCCTAAGGATGATTCTCAGCTCCTTGCTTTTCATAGGAAAGACTGTTTTAATTGGGATGATTGTAACAATGTCTATCTGATAAATGAGAAATCAATCCTTACTGTTGATCATTCACCTTGTTGTCCAAGGAGCCTCACCTCCAAGAAGCCTCACCAGGTCTTCAGCTGTTTAAATCAGCTGCCATCAGTTTTAATACTACTTAATACAAATACAATTTGTAGTATTTTTTTGCTGCTAGCTGGCATGATTTTAAAAGTTACTAGTATATGATGTTTGATTTTGTGTGGGTTTTTTATCAGATTAGCTTTTAAGGGTCTTGCATGGATTCTTGTGAGAGCTATCATCTTTCTCTAAACAAGGCTTTAAGAACAGTGCTATATAAATATGTCCCTTTGTTACTGGCTTATCCATGATTATGCCTCCCATAAGGGTAAAATGCTTGTCATGATGCAGGTTTTTTCCACTTCGGAAAGTCTCTCTTACATTTACAGTTTCAAGGAGTGAAAGATCCTTTGAAATGCTTTGGAAGAGGAATGGTTCTTCTTACTGGAATAATATTTTCTTTTCACATAGGCCACTCCTCCGGTGAACATTCCAGGGTCAGCAAAATTCACTCCCAATGGCAGTAGCTTTAGCATCTCTTGGCAGTCGCCTCCAGTTACTTTCACCGGCATTCCAGTAAGTAAACAACAGCAAAAAAAAGTGGAAGAAAGAAAAAGTAATAACTTTATAGATCTTCCTGTTTGTTTCACAGTGTCTTACAGTAGAAGTAGATTTGACATAACAGGTACTGAAAAGAAACAAATTAAATATATGCCTCAGTTTGCCAGCATGGCTGATTTTAACACTTTTGCCAGTCTCTTTAATTAAGTACAGTTACTTTTTTTTTTGCATCAGTGTCTACAAGCAGAGAATTGGATGTATAATATATGTTTTTTAAACTATATGCTTACAAAAGAACATTCTGGTAGGTGCAGAACCTGGCACTATATGCTTTTTTTTTTTTTTTTTTTGCCACTGAGAGATTTCTTAGGAACCTAGATGGAAAATCAGTGAGGTGATGGTTATGCTAACAGGCTAATTGCATTCAAGCAGTAGGGCTATTACCTACATGAACTCTGATGATGATGAAATGCAAAGTCTGATTCTAGTACACTACATATATGTAGTCCCTATTGATATCAGAAAATTCTGTACTTTTATACAGAAAATATGTTCAATACATATTGCATTTTGATATTAATGCATATTGCAGTTTGACACGTTTTTATGAAGATGTATTAGATGTATATATTAGATGTAAAGTCAGCTCTGACCCTTTCTTCAAAAAAGCTAGTGTACAAGGCCTAATTTCATGAACAGGACTGCAGAAGTGGGATGTTTGCTTAAACATAGACTTCCAGTAGTCCTAAATGTAACGCAATATAGGTGTGGATACTGCAGAGGGAGTTAAAAACCTTTATGAAGACTTCTAGTGCCTGGCATGGTGAGCGCTAAAAACAAATGTGAAACACTGTTTATGAGCAGTGGAAAATCTTCTGTATATATAATAAATAGAAATAATTATTAATGTAATGTATCCTGATTTTTATTGGAAAGCATTTTTCAGTATAAATTGATATTCTCTAATCATAAACCTTTTTGATAGCATAACATTTAATTTAATATTACACTTTATGAATTTAAGAATTTTTAAAGTGTGTTATATAAGGCACATTGCTCATCTAAAGAATCATATAGCTTTTTTGATCCTCACAGTGAATATTAGACTTGGCAATAAGAGAGACTATTTTTTTTCCCTTCTCTTCATCAAGTGAATCTCCAAAGCTTCTTACTGTCAACCTTTGGCAAATCTTGGAGATTTTCTGCAGAGGCTGTGGCATCCTGCAGGGCTGATAAAAAATGAAAGTGGCTGAATCAATTATACTGCACTCTGCCAATGAATATTTATTAAATTCCATCAAGGAACAACTAACAGTGAAAGACATCATGCTGGCAGCAATTTGAAAAAGAGTGTCTTGACAGAGCATGCTATCCATAAAGTTCCTTGAGAATTTGATTTCCCAACAATGGGGTTGATATGGAGTAATTATAAAACTGGCTCCTTTCGTGGAGTAGCAGAAATTGGTGCCAGGAGTGTTGGGAATATAAAAATGCAATTAGCCACATTGTAAGTCAGACACTTAAGAGGACGGGATTAGACACGTATGCGTTGAGTTTACTTGTTTGAGTAACAACGTTGATCTGTGGCTGTAGGGTTGAGAGTCATCGAAAGAATTTAAGAAATGCCAAATCAGTTTCTGAGAATTGTGTGGGGATGCCAATGATTTCAGTACCATTTAAAAATAATCCCAACAGAAAAACCTGGGGAAGCAGTGATGATGGCAGAATTATAAACTGCTCGAGGAACCATATGAATTGCCTTTATATCTCTGTCTAACAACATTTATAAGGCTGTTTAGCAAAAAAAAAAAAAAAAAAGGGGGGGCTTCTAGGTTTGCACATCTATTTGACTCTTCTGTCATCAGTGAGATCATTTATGAATTACAAAGGCTTGCCTGCAGTGGAAGATTATGTGCAGTAAGTGAGGGTGCAAATGCAAAGTGATGTGAAAAAAATGTATATTGAATGAAAGTTGCATTTCTCCTGTTTCAAAGTAAATTAGATACTGCCTTGTAAAAACAGGGCTTTGTCAATTCCCACCCTTACACTGAGTGTAACTACTTTAGGAAAGCTCTGGTATAGGGGACTTTCTCCTTCTCTTATGATGTTTATTTAAGCCCAAACTATGTGACAGAGCCAGCATACTATAAACTCATGCAATTGTATACGTACATGGTCCCTTGAGATTAGATGCGTATCTGTAGCACCCAAGGGAACTTCAGAGAGTAAGTGTAAACCATTTCTTTTTGCCTGACCCTTAATATTTATTCAAGCAGTTTTCTAAAATGGCTTTGAGATACTTTTTTTGCCTTGACAAACCACAGAGCAGTAAAGAATTAGGTACAGATTTGCAGAAGTGTGTAGTTCTACACATTTCTTCACATTACTAGTGACATTGGAATGTGGCCATTCTGTCCTTGACCCATCAGAGGACTGTTGAATCCTGGTTTTGAACAGTCTCCTTTCTAGGCCTGTATGTCAGCAGTTAAGTCCACAAGAGAGATGACATTTCAAAATAGTCTTCATTTGTGGGTTTTTTGACATCTACCTTAGGTGTTTCCCCATTCATTCCTGTGGGCATTGAATTTTGATGACACTGAGCACTCCCTGCTTGCTCTCCTGGGAACTGGGGTGTCCAGACAGACATCATGACTTGCATTAAGTCCTCGCGTTCAGGCAGTCTTCAGCAGAGCAGCACCAAAAGGCCTTTGTGAGTGTACTTATCAGCAAGTTCCCAAGGGCCTCAAAATAACCCATACATACAGCTGGGTCAGTTGAGGTTCAGTAGGTGGCTGCTTTAGGCTCAGAGGTATTCACAGCATCTAACTGTAGGCATTTATCTAGAAGTCTTGCAGTCATAAAGGCGGAGGATTAGAGGAACCTCCAAAGTCCTTATACTTTGTGGTCTGAATTGTGCATAAGTTAGATTCCAAAGGCAGATGGAGAATACACATTTTCTTACCATTTTCGCAAGATAACTTTGCAGGTGCAAGAGAAGGTTGAGTGTTGGTATAGCTGTGAGTCATTGCCAGGTGCAATTCTCTCCATGAAGCAGAATTGACAAGTTCATGTTTGCTCTACTACTTGAGACTGAACTAGGAGAAAAAACAAGGCACAGCATGGGAATGTGTGAGGAGGATGAATTAAATGATGTGAGTGGGATGAGCAACGGTGGAGTCTGTATCTCTTGGTTCTGGAAGACTTAACATAATGACCATATGCTTCCAATTCTGTGTAACATAGGATAAAAGTCTTCTTGAATGCCAGCATGATGCCCACTGTGTGATACTGATTTTTAGGTGCCTGCTTGTAAGACCCAAAAAGGTTGAACAAGAGAGAAGACCTTTAAGTTTGATAATCTGATGTTTACAGATCACAAATCTCTGTAACCACAGTGTTCCCCAGGAGATTTAACTGCAATTCCAAGTCCTCACTTCAAACAAACACTATCGTTTCACATTACTTCTACGTGTTAGACAACACTTCAAACACACAAAGCCTCCAAGGGCAAGGATTGCCTTCTCAGGCCCTCCTCTTCATATGCTTTTAATGTCACCTACAAAGGAGTTACAGCTAACTGGTATTGTTTAGACCTGTTGCAAAGCGTATCAAAATACACTAAAGCCCAACTTCAGTGCAGTTTAGCTGCCTTGGTATGCCAGTCCATGGAAATCATCATGCAGAGACCCTCTCTGGACAATGTGAGGGGAGACACAGTCTGCACACTGCAATTACTGCTCAAGCCTGTTCTGTGTTTGGAAGCAATCAGGATAATTGCTTCTAACATAGGAAGCCATTGAAGTACTTTTCTGTTCAGTGATAACCAAGGAATATGTTGAGTGTCAATTAGTAGCAGTAGATACAAAAATTTTCCGGTTTTTAAAATGTTTAAGAACCCTAGCAGAATTGACTGGAGATCTCTGGTTGCTGGTAATGACTGGAAAACTGTGCAGTGTGTGGTAAATGCCAAAGACTAGGAAAATGTTACTGCTTTGCATTTTATCTTCAGTGTTTCAATCATTCTTAGGTAAAACAAGAGAAGTTGTTGATAAAAGAGAGGGAAAAAAGTAATAGATAACAAGCTGCCCTCAATTTTGTGGAGTGATAGGACAGAAGGAGCTAGTGTGGTCTCTAGATTTATATAAAACATGACAAAACAGAGAAAGAGGAAATTTCTTTCAAGTTTTGGAGATACATTTCATATGTCAGTAATGGTCTAAACTTAAGAGTGTGAGCTGCACATGCAGATAAATCAGAAATTTCCGTAGTTACCAGCCAAGAGTAAAAGTTGAAAGAGTGGTTGCACTCCATTACAAGTATTAGTTTTTTGCTACTGTGGAGTAGCTATAAAATAGATTTCATATCAAAAATCAAAGCACATTCAGTAACTCTCTTCAAGTCAAGTCAGTTCCCATTCTTCCAGATATTACGAGACTTCAAAGGGCAGGAGTGAAAAGTCATAGCAATGCAGGGAACTATGACAATATCCATAGTTCCTGGCTGCAGGAGGCAGTGACTCTGTGCACCAAATGCCCAAATGAAGCTTGCGACATTCTGTACATAACAAAAAATATGTTTGTAATTTTTTGGTTTTGTTTTTTTCAGATGTAAAGTGATTGTAGCCTTCACCCAGGAGCAAAATAAGACACTAGCAGTAAATAATTTAGGAATTATTTAAGGCCAAGCATTATGCCATGTGATTACTCAAATAATCACGGGGCTCTGAGCAACCTGATCTAGTTGAAGATGTCCCTGTTTACTGCAGGGGGGTTGGACTAGATGACCTTTAAAGGTCCCTTCCAACCCAAACTACTCTATGATTCTATGATTCTGATGTTGCCAACCCCCAGGCTCATGTAGGAGACTTACTAGGAAAGTCTCGGAAGACCAAACTATACCCTTCACTCAGGAACATTCACAGAGGAGGACACCTGCTGAGAATGTTTACAGTGCGGAATAAAGGAAATAATCCAGTACGTCTTGTTAGCAGCCTTGATCAGAAGGGCTGCCTGGCAATGCCATTAAGACCTTGAGGGCTGCATAGTAACTGCCCTGCAGCAAACCCCCTTCCCCAAGGCTTCTCTCCGCAAAGAGTGCCAAGTCACATATGGAAGCAACATGTGAAATCCCTTTATTTCATAGGGGGTTATTAGTATTGATCTCAGCACAGGCCGGAGTTTATTTTTCCAGTTATTTTCTCTGCTTAAATTGGAGAAAGTTTTCATAAGAGCTATTCAGAGTTCTTCAATAAGAATGAATGCATTTTCTGTTTCCTGACACCTGAAATGATGCTGATCTATTCTGGTTTGCTGTGTTTAGATGACTGGAAGTACAGGGAAATGTAATGGAGCTCATATAATGTACCCAGTGCTAAATGGACATCTTTCTAAATAGACTTACAAATTACTTATGTTGTATGTTATATAATAACCTTTCCTGGGTAACTTTGCCACCGTGCATCATGAATTGCATTTTCTGGAAAGAGCGTTTATACAGCATGCATATGTGTATGTTCTTCATAAGCAGCTTTTTTGTCTGTATTGACAGGTTTCACCAACTCATAATCGTCCTGCAGGGAGTGGAGAGCAGAAACAGTCCCACACAGTTCTTTCATCACCGCCTAGAGTAGCATTTGGCTTGAGGTATGGGACCATTAGCTCCTGCTGACAGACCAGCAGCCTCAGAACCTGGAGGGGATTTTGTAAATAAGATGTCAGTGCCCAAAGAAACAGAAAAACCATACCACCAACAGTGATTGCAGTTGTCAGGCAGTTTCCTACTAGAACACTTTAAAGTAACCGTTCTGGACCTATTTTACTATCAAAGGTAAAGTTTGGGGGAACAGTGAGTTGGTGCAAAATGGAAAAAAAGGCAGACTGTGAAGCAAAACTGTAGGCCTTCTGCCAGGCATGTCTGGAGTTCAGATGCAGATCTAAATTGCCCCATAAAGCAACGCTGCCCAGATTCACTGCTCCAGCCCTAAGTATCCTGAACTGCATTACGTGGCTTTGCTTTTCTCCCTGAAAGGCTGGGCTATCTTGTGTGTTCATCACCATCCAGTCAGTATGGTATTTGGCTTCAGCTGAATTATAAAAAGGCATATCTTACAAAAAATTAGATCAAAGCAAAGGTTTTTTTATACCGTGTCTTCCTATGCATAAGCAACATCCACTTCCATTAAAGCTAACTGATGTTTGACCGGAGTCTGCTTTAAAAGTGTTCAAAAAGTTATGTTAAAAAGTCAAACTGTAACGTTCAATATCTTACAGTAAAGAAACTTATTTCTCGCAGTCCTAAAGGTGACTGTACACTAAAATGAGACAAAAGGAAGATTTCATGCTTTTCATTTTCTTCATAACTCTCAGATCATTGCATATGCTACAAAACCAAACTTAGGATCTTCCAAATTCATGGATTGTGCCCATTAATGAATGTTCAGTAATCAAAAAATGTATAGGTGTGCAAGAGAGGAGTCGCCAGGCATTTCCCATGTGTGCCATGCTGTACATAATACAGGTATTAAACAACTCTGTACTGTTATCTGACAGATGACACTGCTGTAGCAAGCGGTTACTTGTAGTAGCATTGCTCCTCAGGTTTGCTGGCTTGCTATGTTGTGAATAAAAAAAGTTCCATTTTAACAGTTACTTTGATAATTTTCTAAATTTGTGAACTTTTGAGTGTGGTTATAAGATGGAAAACATGACAATCATTATAGCTTTAAAAGCAGATACTGCCTGCCATGCTGACTTTGCATATGACAGAGAAGGAGCACAACGTGAATGTGCTTCAAATGAGGGCATGGGTTAAAACTTGTTTTCAGTCACTTTGTTGTATTTCAGTCAGTGAGCTCAGAGCAAACGATGCAGGAGGGACTGGCAAGCTTAGGAGCTGGTAGCTTTTCCCCTCTTTTGTGTAGCTGCTACCCACTGGTAGTCAATGTCTGCTGCTCAGAGCTATGCAAAATATTTGTACCGCAGCTCTAAAGCAAAGAGGACTTCTGCCTGACATGACCTGGACAGTGTTGTAGAATAGCTCTGACTATCCATTATGGCTTGGCACGTCACATGGCCAAAGTACCATTTATGTAGACCGGGCTTAGTCGCTGGCTAAAGTCCGGGCTGTATGTTCCTGGGATCAGCCCTGGAGCAGAGGAGCAGGCTCAGCAGCTGCTGCAGAAGCCGTAGAAGGTGGGCGAGGGGAAGGACTGGTCCCTCGGAGCTGTGGAGTCACAGCTGTATGTCTGTCTGCTTTGTCAGCTCGCGGTTGACTCGAAAACTCCATTGAGATCGTTGTCCTGACCTTAGGATGATAAAGCAAAGCTACAAAAGCATCACGTTAACAAGCTTCCCTTTCTCTCTGACAGGAAGCCTAGAGGGGAGGGGAAAAAGTGTCGGAAAGTCTATGGGATGGAGAACAGAGATATGTGGTGTACTGCCTGCCGATGGAAGAAGGCCTGCCAAAGGTTCATCGACTAAAGATTGAAATTATGCACAGGATTTGGGGATGGGGGAGGACAACAGCAGAACCAGGTTGCTGCAGCTGCACTGTATCACTTCCCATTTTCCCTGCAGTGATGTGGTGTTGGGGGTTTTTTTGTTGGTTTTTTGGGGTGTTTTTTTTTTTTTTAAGAGCTTTGTATTTCAAAGTGAAGCACTTGTAGCCAAGGAGAAGCACTAATCAAAACCTGTGTGGAGCAATAGAGAAAAAAAAAAAAAAACAAACAGCAAAACCAAGAGCATACAACAAAATTCTGTCTTACTGAGTGTGGACACCAGAGCAGCTATTAGTGTTTTTCTGTAAAAGAAAGGAAAAAGTTAATTTTTTTGCTGACTCTGTGAGCTACTTGCTCCTTAGGATCATTTTTAACCATTTCAGTCTCTGTGCTGTGAACATCTGTATTGCTAAACTGAACAATTTTTCTTTTCCTGAAATGAAGATCTGTTTTTGAAAGCTTTCTAATAAACACTTCTGAGTTGTATAAGCTACAGTTTACTCAACAAAAGCTGTACTAAGACTGGAGACTGCTAAATAGTTCTCCTGATACAGATGATCAATATTATATATCATATTTTTGGAAGGGGGATGTGGGGAGGAGTTGGGATTTTTGTTTGTTTGTTTATAGGAGAAAAGCAAAGTTTGAATTTGCAAGAAGGACAAGCAGTGCTCCTGGAAGATTTTTAAACCAGGCACAGACCAGTGGAGTGGAACAAAGTAATTTAAGTACCAAATTGGATTTTGATCCTCTAGAGGAAGAAAAGCAGCAATGGAAAGTCACCAGCAGATACTGTCACCACAAGAAGTTGAGGGAAGAAATCCAGTGATGCTTGATTGAAACCCATAAGAATATAATGGCGGTCCAGTAGCTTTTCTTACCACACTCCTGTTTCCAAGGGAGGACAAAGAGTTGGACCACATGTCTGTTGCTGCAGGAGGCCTATAAAGAACTGGTAAATGCAGCCACTGGGATTACATGTAATACCTATTCAGGGACACGATCCAGCCCAGCAGTTCTGCTCTTGCTTTCTTTTCTCTTATTTGAGAGATTGTTGTTAAGATAATGGTTTTCTCAGCTTTCCCCACCCCCCATTAAAGTTGCTAAGATTTATTTCTCACAAAAAATTGGTAAAGAAAATACCCCCTTTCCACAACATCATCTCAGAAAAAGAAGTACAACAGCAAAGGAGCAACGTATTTATGGTAAAAGTCCATTTCTTAACTCATTTTGATATATGAATTAACAAGTTTCTGTACTTGCAGTACTTGGATAGATTTGGGTACTTAATTTCTCTGTCCATTAGAAAGTATACACCAGAATGCAGCAAGCTGGTGTTCTGTCTCAACTTGTATTGAATTACCACTAATTAATTATTTCAATGCAAAAATAATGTAAGGATTTACATGAATATATGATATGAATGTACACAGCGAAACTGTACTTGCCTGTTAAATGAAACAAGACACCTTAAAAAAATCAAAAACACAGAAGCCAAACTTTGCCTATTAATAGAGGCATGGAGGCCCACAAATTCCTGGATTTTTTTTTCATAATATTTGAAATTAGAACAGATTTTTTTTTTTTTCTTTTTTAGTTGTCTAAGCTGGCTCACCTTCACTGAAGTAAGGGATCTCTAAACAGCTTTCTGAAATCTGGTCCAAAGTTCACTTGATAGCTTTATTAAATGTGCATCGCTGCTTATGCCAACGTAAAAGCACAAAATAACAATGCAGTTGTTTAGAATATGCACTATGAATTCAGTAAAGTAGTACTGAGAAGTAAAATTTATAATAGGAGCTACCGAAGGTTATCATCTGATTTTCTTTGAACCAGTTAATTGGGCAATCAGATGCCTAATTTGAGCATGCTATTTCTGCAGTTGTTTACAAGTTGTGTAATTTACATGCACAAGTGGCAAGATATGCTTGCTTGCACGCAATTACTTGATTTTTTGCCCAGTTGTGTTCTCTTAAGTCATTTAAAAAAAAAAGGAAAATAGAAATTGAAATCAAGTAAGACCCTGAAATATATACACATATGTGTGTATGAGTATTTTATATATATATAAAACTATATACTATATAGTTTTTTATATATATATAAAATCTGAGATCAACAGGGAGGAGAAAGATTGTTTTCTTTATAAATATAAAACAAGACACTAAAGGTCAGTGGATATACATAGCCACTGTTTTATTGTCTTTCCTCTTAGTGAAATGTGGGTCATGGGTTTTCTTTGGATGTTGTATTTTTTTCAATTTCCTTAGTAAAATACCTTGTAGTAATTCATAGTCATTTAATCTTAAAACACTGAGCTTGCTGTTGGTGTATTTACTTTGGTAGAACTTAGAAAATTTGGGTCTTTCTGAGATATTCCTGCCAATTTTCCCTCATATTTTTACAAGCACTCCAAGATTAACTATGAAGCATTCCATAATTAGTTTGACTATTGTTAGACTGACACTATTTGCCAATATATTTGTTGTTCCCCACATTTTATATTTTCCCTTTTTGCTTTGGAGGATTTTTTTGAGAATAATGTATCAGATTGTATATTGTTTCTGTAATGTCATGGCATTGTGAGCACCTTTCCTGAGGGCACTTTACGAATTATTGTAATAAGGTTATTCTTTATAAATCTCTGCACGGAAGAATTTTTTTTTATTGCCAGACCAGATCACCCTCTGGTACAAATTTGATACGGATTACATATAGGCACAAAAGCCACAAATCATCAAAAGAAAGATGGCGTTAACAGAACAGAGGACAGAAGATACTTGATAAATCCTGCCAGGGCAAAGCTAAATTACCGGTATTTTTACACAACCTTTAATCAGCAGTTTGTATGAAATCAGTTTTGCATCTTGCAGCTGTGGCATTTTGGTTCAAAAGCAGGCACTCCTCGAGTTACCATGTCTCACCCATGGCCAGTGACAGCAAGACGGCATGGCCGTCTGGACCTGCATGAAGCGTTCACCAGTTGCGTTGTGCTTTGAACTTGGATTACTTCATGTCACACGAGCACTCAGCATCTGCTGAGATCCCCTTCGCCCTCCTGACACACCCAGCAAGAACAGAGATGTCAGCAAAGTCTTGCCTGTGCTGGCAGTACGGAGCGTAATCTGAAATAACCTCTTCCATTTTTCAGTCTCTTGCTTCAGTGTTGCTTTAAGCTGCAATGCTGTCCTCCTAACATCCAATTCACCTCACACTTCTGCACTGGCCTCTCCGAAAGAGTCACATTTCTTTGTTTTTCCCAAGGAATAGCTAGCCTGAATGCTTTGGTCATCTATTGTCATCGGTACCTGCCATTTCCCCTATTTTTGGTTTCTCTGTGGGAGGTAGGGCATTGTCTCTGACCTCCTGGAAGTCAGAAAGACTGGCCTGAATGCATCACGCAGTCTCTGTGTGCTACAGGGATTTGGATGTGGGTTCATTTATGTCAAGAGCCAGAACTTCCCTTTGAGATACAAAAATGGAAGGCTCTATTTTATTGAGTTTAACCACTTATTAGTATTGATGCTGGCAACAGAAATTGCCAACATCAGTATCAGAGTGGAGATGAACTGTACAGATCCCAAATACTTTTCTTCAGGAGTTTTCTTGCTATAACAAAGCTATTTCCCACTTCTGCATTTACCCCATCCCCCAAAAGATCGGGAAAAGGAGGCAATTTTAGAAGTGGGGAAATTTTAATGGGAATTTTGTAAATGTGACTGTGCTCCAACTGCTCCTATATGAAGCTATTGGATGTTACAAACTCGGATCATCTTAGTCATAAAATGGTTTCCACCCAAAACAGCGTGCCTGATTCTCTAGTGCCTTGCACAAGTGTAACAGGATACACAAGATGCAAAGTGAGCAAAAACTCTTCCAATTTGCAGGTTTACACTTACTTTTAACCAATACCAGTCATCACCTAACAGGTATCTGTTGTCACGTAAGCTAGACCTGTAAGCCCTGCTTGTGTGAATAGGCTGAGCAGGATGCCTATCTGTTGAATTATTTTTTCCAAGTCATTAGCCTGATATGTATGTTAGCCAGCGAATGATCTACAGGTTCCTTGCACCCGTTCGCTATCACTAACATCACTTTCTTCATTCCTTCTCCCCTTCATTTTTTGAAGATAAGGACTAGGTAGGCAGCACGACAGGAGGCACAGCATTACCCAGAAGTTCTTGTGGAATCCGCATGTGAGAATGGATTCCAGCTCCATGCAATGTCCTTGTCACTGACTTTATTTTTTTATTCATTCTGATCCAGTGAGTTGGGATGGTTTTCTATTTCTTGCTCTGGTCTGGGACCAGCTAGAGTGGCCCTGCTGAGAATTCAGAACAATCGCTGTTAAGTGTGGCAACACAAAGCGGTTCTTTCTTCTCCTGCCTGTAAATATGTTGAAACACCATCTCAGAAACAGGACATGAAATTAGCATCTTGCTAGCCATGTGCAGTGACGTAAGGTGTTGCCACTGAGGCTTGTTTCTGTTGGTTCTTGGTTCAAACTTCAGTCATCTGTTGGAGAAAGTTGTGCTGCGCCTTTTCTTAGAAATATTTTGATAAGGAACCATTTGTAAAGTCTCATCTTCGTCTTATATTTACATTTCATTCCATCTTCCTGTAAGGTGGTAGCACTGCAACCGAGACCTGTACTGAGTATGGGATTTCATCTGCATCTGTCAGGATTTTTCTTGTAGGTAATTGTGGGCTGTTGCAAAGCATCATAGCAGAGATTTTGTTCTAATATAAGTTAAGGAGAGTTTTATGGCACCTTTAGCAAAATAGCTAAAACGTAAGTCATGAGCAAAAATTAATCAAGCTGAGAGTTTAAATGCATTCTGTATCTTCTAGATGTAAGCAGCCCTTTTCTGCGTCTATGTGGAGCTTGAAAAGCTTCAAGATTGCAAAAAAGCCAGTGTACACCTATAGTTGATAGTGCCCACTTGGACTGGTTTTTCCCTTAGACTACAGGGATTTTGCATTGACTATGCTCTCACTTCTATCCAAATGCAAGATTAAAGAAGATGTGTGTCTTCCAATTGCAACTTTTGGAGTTTATTCCTCAATACAAAAAACCCTAATCGTATTCTTTGTGCTTCACACGGACCATTTTTAAGCACAATCTGGGAAGACCCTGAAAACCAATATCAGCCTGTTTCTGATGGCACCAAGCAAAATAAAGTATGGTTTGCTCCTGTGCTTGCTCATACTCACAGCAAGAATTCGTTTGGCCAGTCAGTTGGTGATATCTAAGGG